AGAGTGCTAGGAAACGCAGTCATCATGACTTTTTTTAATAAAAGATTTTCTTTGGATTTCTTTTTCTTTTGTAAAATGTTTGGCTATTCCTAAATTTGGCTACCTCCACCGCCTCCTATGCCCTCCTAATATAGGTCCCTCCTCCCACCTACTCCTGCCGAGAAATTTTCCTCGTCCTTCTCCTGCTCAGTGATGGGCACTGTCTATCCTCTCCAGCTTTTTCCCGTCTTCTAGGAGCGGCCGCTTAAGTAGGTGCTAATGGTGTAATTACACATTGTGCAGCATCGATGAAAAAGGCAAGCATGGCCCTAGTCCTCTTATAAAGCGTTTAATGTACCTTTTAATATACCTCAGATATGTGTTGTGCAATCACGTCACTTGCGTGGGGACTTTCGGTAGTATTATAAAACAGAAGTATAATAAGTGCAATATTACGAACTTCCTTAGTGTTAGAATATTTTTGTACGAAAATTATTGAAGCTCCAGAAAAGATAAAATGTAAAAATTGAATTTTGTTGCTTACCCGCAAACTATTAGGAACGACTGAATCTATTTTTGGCTTTAATCGACTCATAAAATGCAGTTAAGTAAGTTTTAAGCAGTTATTGCTTCTAGTCTTTCCTTTCCATTCCCCCCCCCCCTCTCCTTTCCCCTTTTCTTCTCATCACTTTGCTTCCCAAAAGCTCGATGATTTCCCTATTTTTTCTTCTAAAAGACATATTAACGCTACTGTCCTTCAAAGGTCAATCTCATCAAATTCATCAAACACAATCGTTTTTCCCCCTCACACGTTTGACCTTCGCCACTGTGTCTCCCATTTACTTTTTGCCCGTTTCTTTCTTTTTGTTTGTTAAGGCTAACATTCAACTCAGTTGTGTTGAGTACTCACTAGTGCTTTTTTGATTTCACCAACTCATTGTGTTGAGTGCTCGTAAAGGCTTTTTCTGATTTAACAACTGTTTTCGTTTTTACTATAAACGACTTCAGCACGTAAACTTTGCGCTTGTCCTATGCTATTTTTTTGATAAAGTGACTTGGTCTAATTAGTCGGCATTTCAAATTCAAAAAGTAGTCGTAAAAAAGGAGTAAAAAACCAAATAGTGACTATTTTTTTTTACGCTTACCTTGAGATCCTTGCATGCCCTTTTGTGTCAATTTGGTTGAAGACTATCTGCGGAAATTCTGATTGCCTCTCCAATCAGAAAATTCTTCTCTCTTTTTTGGGAAAAAGAAGGGAAGATTTTCAGGATTGCCAAGCAATAGTTCATGCTATGGACAAAATATTCTCTCCATCTGGCGAATCTTTGGGAAAACCTTTGAATCTCAAGGTCTTTTCTTTTCAAAAAGTAAAAAATTTTAATAACAACTTTAACGAAGTCCTAGAACACCTGTTCAGGGTGCTTTGTAAGTCCATGAACTGAAATACCTACTTATCTGATAAGTAAGAATGTTTAAGTTTTTCTTATTTGTAGCAAAATTGTTATGCAGCTTTTTGGAAATATTAGGTTGCCCCATAAGTCTTTTCATATTCGTACCTTTTAACTGATATTTCTAGATATATACAAGGATGCAAATTTTATGGGAGTATTCCTGAGTGAATAGGCTACTATAGACCCAGCAAAGTGCGCACTATTTTTTCTTGATTTCTAGCCATCAAAAAAGTGCAAGAAGTGTATAAATAAATGTCTGACGGGGAGATCATATGCGTGAGCAAGTTGGAACTTCGCAGAATGCTTTTGAACTGAGATACGATTATTTTCGTGTTTCCGGGATTTTGGATTTTTTTCCATTTTGTCTGGAAATTCGATGCGGACCTAGTACGAACTTTTGAAAGCCATATTGTAGAGCTTGCTTTGATCCTTTGAATGGTGCCTTGCATCCCATTAGAAATCTAAGAAGACCAGACTTATGCTGGTGAAAAGTCAGATATGAAAAGACTTATGGGACAACCTAATATATTTGATCTTTGGTGAGTGCATCAAGTTTATGTTGTGTTAATTTTTGCAAGAAAAAAATTCTGGGTTCTTAGGAAATAGGTGTAGGCATAGAAATTTTTGCTAATAAAGTAGAAAGTTAATGAAAGTCTGAGTGCAAGTGTGAGTAAAGCTAGGCTGTAAGCTTTTCAATAACGCAGTCGGAATTTGCTCAAAATAATTGGAAAATCTGCTAAAAATTCAAAAAATGGGTTTCTCATGTGTGAGACGAATACATCAGAAAGCTACAACAAGCTACCCAATTTGACGTAGGTAAAATCTTGCAAGAAATCTACGCGAATTTCCGACGAATGAACGAAACTTATATTCCGATCTAGTACGAGCTCCCACAAAATCCCTTCAAATCCGCGGAATCATTTCAAAAATTTGATGGTCCATAACTTGTCTCCAACAACTTTCTGCACGATAAAAATTGCAACAGGATTAGCGCGATCCAATTTTGAACGTGAATGGCAATGGTGACGTCGAGGCCATACCTCATCGGCTATGCCGAGACGTGTTCTTGCCGCCATAAGACTGCCAGTTTTGCCTTGAATTTTTCCTTTCAGCCAAGATTTTCTTTTGGAAGCGCAAGCTTTGTCACCATCCCACGTATCAATTTTTCATGAAAAATTATAATTTTTTACTGATATTCAATTTGTTTAGGGTAGGGAAAATGGTAGGAGCAAAATGCAAGAATAATCATCGGCAAAATAATTCTTCGAGTGATTTTAATCCAGTCTTGCGATTTCTAGAGTTCTCTGCCTCATCCCGCTGTAAGTCAACCGGTTCCCTAGAATGAATCTGTGCTGATTTTGTGAGAATTTGGCGGTCATCGAGTCATCGACGACAAATACCTTTCCGGGTGTAAAGTAGAGTTCCACTTTTTTACGTTTATCATTTTTGGGTGTGGTGCGTGGTGGAACTATTGGTTGAAAGAAAAAAACCCACGAAAGATGAATTTCTATTGGAGTAATTTGGATTCTTGTCATATGAGTCATTTTCTTACACAAAATACCAAGAAAAAACTCTATTTTCAGCCAGCCTCAGATAGATCATTCTGCGCAATAGAACATTTTTTCACTTTTTAAGGAAATTTTTCTCTTTCATAATTTTTAATAAGCATAGATTGGTAGAAGGAAACAGTCTTATGTAAAATCACTAATAAACTCTTAAAGATTGACCGTGCAAATAATTCGTCGTCCTCCCCACCCTTTCCTGAAACTTTGAGAAATTAGTGATCCTGACAACAAATTGGATTGTTTGATTTTCGCTGCACGCATATTAATTTATCTGCAAGATATGCCTACGCACTTCATAAAATGTCTTTGACCTTTATTTATTTTTAAGCTTGAAGCAAAATAGATTCTGTGGCGACTTAGTCATGTTTTTACACTTAATGAAAAGCCAAAATAATCAGCAGCATGTGTCTACAACGGCGCTTTCAAAAAATAGCTTCGGATGGGAGGAGGGGGGGGGGGGACGTGACAGAATTTTTTTTCGAACGTGAAAAAGTGCTGCTATTTCCTTTCCTCCCAAAAATTCTCCTTTGGACTTCCCAAACTTTAAGACCTTTCAAGAGCGTTGCACTTCCAATTATTTCGGGAATGGGCGTGGCGCGAGCCAAATTGAGCCAGCCAAATGACCACGGTGGAGTAGTGTTCAATAATTCGAAAAATATCCATGTTTGCACTTTTCAAATTTTGCAGCCCTCCAGATAACCTTCAAAGCCATATGTTAAGGATCATGAAAAGTCTCAGCTGATTTTATTTGCTCATCGACCGATCCATAGTGCATCAAGCGCTCTAAAAATTTGCCGCTCCATTGATTAAATGTACTTTTTGCGCTTGTTTGTGCGAATACAGTGTAAACACACTCTTTGAAAAAGCTGACATCTGGCCAAAACCCTTGCAAAGCTGCGGTCTTACTCCTTTGTCGTGAAGTACATTGTGAAGGCTGCTCAAAGGCGAGCATAGGCTTAGGCTTTTGTTTATTTGTGCTCAACAATACGTCTGTTTACGAGACGCTACGGATATTCGCCAGAGCGAACGCATCCGGCCGACAGTAAAGAATTTCCAATTTTTGGTGAACCTTTTGTTAAGGGAACTGGGAACTTCACCAAATTGCACTGTTCCGGCTAACCCAATCTAAGTAAAATTGCAATTTTTCAAAAAATTTGGTCAATATGTTAACTCCTTTGACCTCGTTTATTCGCCGTTTTCTCCATTCACGAAAAATAAACGAACTATAGGAAAAGAATGTTATACCTGTTGATTTCTTGATAATTTGCAAGATTTTAATTTTCCTATTTCTGTGTCATATACAATACGCAATTCAATTTATTTTAAAATTAAAAACCTGTAAAATGTATCCCTGCTACATTTTGCAACTTTTCCAGACCAGTGAGCAATTTGTCTGGAGACAGAAAATGTTAAAAGGACGCACAAAGACCTGTTTATAATTTTTTTCAGTTTTTTCATATATCATTGCCGTTATTGGATAGGTTCAGGTTACTTTTGTTTTGTTTGATCCGCAGGATTGTTGCCATCGCTCTAATTTTTTTCCCTTCATCCTTCCTCTTCAACATATGGCTATCGGCAATCACAAACCTTAGCTACACTTATTGACAATTCCCTGAGGGACCGGTCTCGATCAAACCAAGCTTTTCTGGTAGTATGATTTGTGCAAAAAAAAAGCCACCTTCAGTAAGTTTCAATTTTTCTCCAATCTTTCTTTGGGGATCATACGTTATTTGCTTTATAGAGGGGAAATCATATTACCATTACTCGCATACTTTGTTTTAATGCAGAACGTTGTCAGAATTCCAACATCAAGAACTAATAGGGCATTCTTGTAAACAGTTCCGTCACATTGATTTCCGTTCTTCTGACTGCTAAAGCTTGAAGCATGTTTTATCGTATTTCGATTACGAAAAGGGAAAGGCGCTTTAAATTAGGTTCATCTTGGGATTCTGTTACAACGTTCTTGGTGCTTTCATTTCTTGCTCTTCATCATTAGAGACAAGTCATGATTCATGTCAAATTCTTTCTGTTCCGAGCCCTAAGGACTGGCAGTATCTATAGAAGCATAGGATGGCTGAGCAAGGATACAAAGGTACACTGGCTAAACTTCTTTGAGTTAAGCTAGAGTATGTTCATACTTCATCGCCGTCTTTGGTTACTTTTTCCTCTCTGTTTCCCTTTATTCTTCTTTTTTGCTATAGCTCCATCATCAAATGATGAGAAGAAACCTGCGGTGTAATTCTTGAGGCGGACAAACTTCATTAAAAGTAAAATTTTCCATGCTTTACAAAAGTGTATCGGCTCTAGGAGTTGAAAGTAACTGCAGGATCATTTTCTAGAAGGTTTGCGGTTGCTTGCTTCGATTTTTCTGCACATCAAGAAAAGTTTTCCCCTTTCATTTGTTTTCATGATGTATGAAAGAGCTGTGTAATATAAAGCAAATCAGCAACAAATCTCGCAAACTGATGCTCTCCTTTGCATTGTCTTTGTCGGCAATCACCGCTCAAAACCTATATTGTCATACGATTCTCTTTTCTCCATTTCGATTCCTTCTGTCACATTTCATTTAGCGAAACTGAATGATTCCATCAGTAGTGTTCTGTTTTTTTTTGGCTTCAGAAATTATTTTCCAGAATTCGATAATAGGTGGCATAGCTATAACTACTGTATAAGATCTGTTGTTCAAATGCTTATAGAACAAGAAATTATATAATAATAATAGCATAAAAATAAAATAATAATAAATTAATATAAATAAAAGTAACGAAGATACAACTTGTATCTTGCTCGTTTCATTTCTTTATCTAAAATAGGTATCGAAAGCGTTTTTGAGCTTTTTTTTTCTTTCAGTACTTTCTATCTATTAGGTTGTTCCATTAGTCTTTTCATATCTGAATTTTCACCAGCAAAAGTCTGCTCTTCTTAGATTTCCAATAAGATGCGGAGCACCATTGCAGAGATCAAAGCAAGCTCTACAATATGGCTTTCAAAACTTTATATCAGGCTTGATCCGCATCGAGTTTCAAGACAAAATGGAAAAAAATTCGAAAATCTCGAAAAAACGAAAGTAATCGTATCATTTCAAAAATGTTCTGCAAAGTTCCCACTTGCTCACGCATATAATGTCCCAATCAGATATTTATGTATACACTTGCTGCATTTTTATGATGGTTAGAAACCGAGAAAAAATATGTTATGCGCTCAATTTTCAAACTTTGCCTGTAATGGGTCTATGCTCCTCGCAAATATGCGATTATATAGCTTATCCACTCGATTCTCTTTGCAACCTTGTAGATGCCTCAGTTTCTGAGAAATATTAGTTTGAAGGTACGAATATGAAAAGACTTATGGGGCAACCTAATATTTTTATACACTTATCTTCTAAATCGAATTTCTAACACTAATTATGTGGCATTGTTAAGCTTTCCTTATTTCTCTCTTGTTCAGCAATTGAGCTCCTTTCATGTAAGTTTTCTCTTTTATTTCTTGTGATTTGTGATGTGGTTCGTCTTCATATATTCAACACACCGTGTGACTTCCCGCTCTGATCCGGTATTCCTTGCCAAATTTTTTCATTTATGTCAATCACACCCACATATCTATATTTCAATGCCAGTTCAAGGAATGCCAACCCTTCTTTGACTGCTAATTGAATTCAAGAAAGTTTATAGAAGAAGTATTTACTTCCTCTTCATGCGAAATATCTTCAGTGTCACGAAATCACCTTGATCAATAGAGTAGCCCTCTACTCACACTGATTGTGGAAAATGTCAGTATCAATCAACGAAAAGTCGGTCATCTCTCGTTTTTCACATTTTAAACGCTCTATAGTGCTTGCACGTCGTCTCCAGTTTGCTTTTACGATCATTAAACACTTATTTATGAACGTCGAGAAGATTTATTGGTGGTTGGGATTCAGTCACGCTCATTCGTCGTCTCATCTCGCTTCGTTGGAGTTACTCCAGTTAAGATGATTGAATGCATTCTTAACTCTTCTCATTTGTTTTTTGTTGGAATTACTCGGAGATTTTTCAATTGAAGAAAGAATAAATTTGCGGAAATATGCACACATAATTCTGCGAAAACAGCGACTATAAAAAATTGAAATAAATATCAGCTTCTCAAACAGTTTGAAGCGCCGGTCTAGTGGTCTAAATTTCATTTTTTTTTACATTAATTCTAATCATCTTTATAATTCGCAGGTGTTTAATAACATTGCTAAATTCTTGTTTGCCTTTTTTTTGTAAAAACTCGAATGAATTTTTTGAATTTTGGAATTATTCTTGACAGTAATTGTCACAAGGCTAGAACTAGGAAAAGGCCATATTTTACGTTTCAAAAGTCACCATTACTACTCTGATTTTTGCTATAAAATTCATTTTTTCAGGATCTTGGTGATGATTTACTGGAAGAAACTTGAACCAGATCGCAGTTAATCAATTATCGATTGCTAGAGTACAAGTTTAAAAAGCACTCTATTCTTTTTTTGCGTTTGTTGCGAAGTCCAACAGTTGAATTTTAGCCAATAAACTTGAAGTTCAGCCGAGTTGCCAATAAATTTGAGTTTGCCGAGTAATTCTGCGGAAAAAGAGGACATTTTTCCGTGTATCAATCGATAATCGATCAGAATACGGTACACCCCTAGCAATCGTTTGTTTGCTTTTGTATCATTCTTTCATTATTTTACGTCTGACCTCCCTTTACGCTAATTCAAGCTCGTAAACAGATGTAAACAGATGGAACACTAAAAATCTCTTTATTGAACTCCAAGCTTGGGTTATTTGTAAAAGAAAATGGAAAATAATTCATTAATCGATAAATGATCAAATTACCGAATACTCTCAACAATCGAATGTTTGCTTCTGTTCATGTTCATCACTCTTTCAACACTCTCTCACTGTCTGTTTTTCGTTCACACTATTTTTTAACTATTTATCACAAAATACCAAAATTTTATTGTTTTTCAGAAAATTGAGCACGCCATGACAACGCGACAGCACGGTGCCGAGAAATGCCGTTGCTGTCCGTACGGGTTTCATATAGACGTCGATTTTGTTGCATATGCTGAAGATGTACGTAAAGGTGGACAAAATCGTACGCCTACACTAAGCCGTAAACATGGCGATAGGCTAATGAGCCCAATGGACAGTATATTCAGGTATGTGATTGTACGCCACGCCCATTATCGGCTCGCGACACGCCCATTTTGAAAAGTTTCCTCTCACATCTGGTTTTGAAAGTATTCAATAAGCCCATTTTTGGGATTCTTATGCTCATTTTCAATAATCTCAGCCACGGCCATTTTTGGGGATTCGCGCCCCGCCCAATTTTGGGAAATTCCGCCCACATCTGATTTTAAAATTATCCCCTAGGCCCATTTTTGGAAATTCTTATGCTCATTTTCAATAATCTCAGCAAAGGCCATTATTAGAAAATTTAAAAATTTCTATACGATCACTAAACAGAAATTAGTGTGCGAACAACTGCCACACATCCTATATCTTATTTTTCAGCGACTCTTTGGAAAATATTCTCAGCGATTTTGATGATGCTCTTGGCGTTACACAAGCAACAAAAGTGGTAGGTTTACGGTAGTTTTAACCAACCAATCAGCGCTCCTTATTGGTATACTGTAGGAGTGAATTAGTGCATTGCAGAATCGAACATTGCCCCGAGAAACGACCGCTGAAAGCACAACTTCAAATCCTCGACGATTACAAAATGGCTACGCATCGGATTATACTGGTTATTACTCATCGTCAGGTTATTATCATAACTTACCTGAAAAATCAATAAAATCGATAGTCCTTATTTTTACATAATTTTGAAGCTCTGTCGGAGAAAAACATTCTCGTAATGAACCACTCCCATCAACTTTTAGCTGGCCAAGGACCTGAGCGTCGAATGGACTCAAACTCTGTGTTAAACCCTCGGCCGTTTGCACTAGACCTGAGTAAGATAGTGATTTATTGATCGGTTTTGGAAATTTAAATGAAGTTTTTAGGCGCTCCTCCAAAACCTCCACACCGAGCTATGACCAATGGACGAGCAACTCCATCAAAACAGCCGACATCAGGTTAGTCAGCAGACTTAGACGGATTGAATCCGGCGCGGCGTTGACACGGTAGTGGCACCGGGTTGACACGGCGCTAGAACGGCGCTGGCATCGCGTTGGCACTGTGCGGCATGGCAGAGTTAGAGGAAGCCTCAGGGCTCCTCTAGCTCAGCCAGTTCTAGGATGACTTTACAGGAATGCAAAGAAAAACACAATAATGTGAAGAATTTTGTAATTTTTGAAAATTAAGGCGCACGATGATTTTTGGCTTTTTCTTTTTCCATTTTTGATTTTTCTATTTTTTCCAGCTTACACCGCTCTCGGACGTACAATCACCGAAATAAAGGCTCGCAACACCGAATCACCATTCCCCGATCGTGATCTTAGCTCTCGGACTGGATCCCGTGTAGGAACTCCCATTGATCTCGGTGTTCCCGCCCCACATAATGGAAACGCTTCCCTATCCCGACCAAGAACACCACATCGAATGGAGCTGGAAAGGGAACAAAAAGTAAAACAGTTTATTTAGCTAAATTACTGATGCACTAAACTTCTAATCAATACAATCAATAAATCGTGTTTTTTCTAGTTTTATCCTGAACCATCGCTGGAACGACCGTATCAACTACCAAGCACGCCTAATACGAATAGTTGGCGTCGAATACCGATAGAAGATAGAAGTGGGACAGAAACAAGATTAAATGGTAAGTATTTAAAGAGTCTGAAAAATTACGTTGCGGTTTAGATTCAGGGACTTATAGATGGCTAAATGTATGGAAAAATCTACTATCTAGCTCCTCCCTTTGCCACGCCCACTTTTTATACACAAATATAACTATTGATGGCTAAATGTATAGAAAAATATGCTAACTTCTGCCTTTGCCACACCCACTTTCCATGCACAAATACCGATATTGATGGCTAAATGTATAGAAAAATATACTGGCTCCTCCCTTTGCCACGCCCACTTTCCATGCACAAATACGTTTTCCCCTTGCCACTAGCTTTGTAAAGTTCGTCAGCCGTCACTGCATGGCATACAACCATTCTCATTCCATTATCAAATAATGTGGCGTGCAGGACGATCATGGCGAGAACTGGTCTCCAAACTGACAGTTACCTCAAAAAATGCATCTCTCCACCTCTCAAGAAATCCTCAAAACCTTCTGAATTAGACCATACCGAAGGAGCGGATAGAAAGGGGTTCGGGGGGGGGGGGGGGATAGGGTTGGCTCAAATATGGGTGGTAGACTTACAAATAAGAACATTTCAGGTGGAAGCACTGAATTTGCAAGTCTCAGACGCGGTCGGGAATATGCAGTGTCAGACACGGAATCCCATCGAGTTCGATACTATTCAGCTTCACCGAAAATGCCAAGAGTGAGAAGGAAAATTTCTTAAGGAAAAGAAATAATCACGGAAAGTTTCCAGAAATTGCAAGCGGTTCCACCACTTCCGTCTGCATCACAGTTCACCTACACGCATAACAATGGGAACACGATGTTAGCAAAAACTCAAGGAACATCGATGTCACCGAGACCTGAAGATGAAAAGGTGACTATGTGCAGAAAGAGAGAACTATGAACATAATTAGCGTTCTAGAGCTGAAATTGTTGAAACTTCTATGCGCCTTTTTTTCTAAACATGCAAAAATGCCCAAAATACCGGGCTCCACATTTATGGCACACTGACCATCAGACGTAGCCAAATTTAGGGTATCACCACTGATACGAGAACTGGTCCTCAGCATGGAAAATTCGTCCTGTTTTCACTTTTGCCTGAAAAAAGTTCATTTCCACGTAATAAAGCTCCTTCTATTTCTCCTGACCAAAAAACCCACTAGAAATATTTTTCGGAATCCACATGGAAAACTGATTCTTTTTTTTTATGAATCCACGGGATCTTTTCAAAATTTAAGACGAATTATCGTCTAAGAACCCCTTTGCCTTTGTAAAGATTAAAACAGTGTTAGAAATTTTGTCACTACGAGAACTGGTCCCTCGAATCACAGCATCTCCAATTTCTTGAGAGTCCTACCGGATGTGTAATCTATCCCAGTGATTGATATCCGTTGTTTCAGCCGCTTCCCACGAAAGAAATGATTACGGTAGGAATGTGGACTGGTCCATTACCACCAGCAAAACCTTGCGCAGAATGTGGACCATTGCGAAAAGAAGTACAAGAGCTGTTGAAGAGGTCTGGATAATCAGTTCACATTATATTTCTTGGAATGTTCAAAGACAAGGTTTCTTTCACAAGAGCTTTTTTCATTTTTCCCTTCAAATCAAGCGCGTAACGAGTATGTTCAGAAAATTGCCCAGAGTTAAAAAATCACTCCACTCTCTTTCCATCGCATTCGGTTTTTCTCCAGCTCTCATATCAGACAAGATTTCAGATCCCATTACTTGGGGCGCGTACCGTTGAGCTTTTTCTGCTCTTGATAGGCGGATATAAGCGTTATGTGCTTGAAACCAGTTATTTCTCATTGAAGCTGATGTGACGAGCTCTAAGACGCTCGTCTGTTATATCCGAGCGCAAAAAGTAGAAATTCCAAGATCCTCATTCCTCCTCCCTCCCGTTACCCCGTCTTTGTTAGAAAGAAATTTCCCGGGGCAAATATTAAGAAAACTGTTTCAGACTAGCCATAGCAGAAGCCAAACCTACCGTATTCTCAATCAGCACGGCTACGGAAGAAGTGGAGAAAGTGGACGCAGCAAGCGGACACACACTTCAGTTCTGCTCCACCGCCACCGAGACCCAAACATTGCAAACCGTCGACAGTGGTGTGGATGCGCAACGTATTGATACGAACAGCACGGTTCGTTCGTCATCATCCCATCAATCCATGCACTCTCTGCTCGAACAGCTCTCGCTTTTTTGAGCCCAGTAATTGCCCCGTTGTAGGAATGTCAAACCAGTCCTGTGGCTACGATGGCGGAAGTGGGCGTGGATACGGAGCCGCCGATCATGGTGGATGCGCTTTTACAAACTGATGAACAAGCGAGAGCGCACTTCGGTGTGAATACTGACGAAGGTAAGCTCCGCCCATTTTTTTGGGACTTTATAATGTCATTATTTCAGTGCAAAAGACAGAAACAGAAACATCGGAGCAGTCAACTATTACGGACGAGTTCAAGAAAGCAGCAAGCATTGATCGGGAAACTATGACAACTCGTACGTACTATAGGAATATTCCTGTGCAAACCGATGCTCCAGAGGTGGAAGAAGCTCATGAGGTCAGTATCACTCTTTTTTCATATTTGAGATAACCTGACAATTTTTTTTATTTTTGAGAGAACCCTGGGAATTTTTTCTCATTTCTGCGTGAACCCTGAGCTTCCAAGGTGTGAGAAATCACCAGTTGCGGTAAGGGACATGGCGTTTGATGCCAAGTTGCAAATTGCATCCAAATTGCATGTGTCGACCCAACGCCGTGCCAGCACTGTGTTAAACCTGCTGGCGACGAAATAATCGATAAATCCGCCTGTTTTGGCTTCGTGCCAGTTTTGTGCCACAATTGAGCGCGCGCGCTGTACAGCGTTGGCACGGCGTTCGCACGGTGCTGGAACGGCCTTGGCACCACGCTGGCGACTGTAAACGACTCAGATTTTTGCTTGCGCACTTTCTGTCTAAAGGCTCTCTGTTTCGAAGCTCCTTACTTTTCAAATGGATAATCCCTTCCAGTAGACCTTAGGACTAACATTTCCGTTTGGGAGGGGGGTGGGGAAGGGGACAAAATTTTTTTAAAAATTATAAAGGTTTTCCAAAATTTTTGGGGATCCATAACCTTAAAAATCGTTCGCAAAGTTAACTTAAATTCAAAAATTCAGATATTCTCTTATTTGTACAAACAAATCGTTTGACATTTAAAGACTCATGTAAGTAAATTTCCAAGATTTGCGACCCATTCTCAAAAAACTCTCCTCCCCCCCTCCCCTCAGTCCTCCGTTATCTCTTCCCTTCCTCAAAAGTCTATATTCCAGGTTATTGTGCCTTCAGATGGTTTTGCCAATGCTGCCTCAAGCGATGCCGAATGTCAGACGGAAACAGGTGTTTTTATATTACCAATCAATAGCTATCTTATACATTGAGCGTTTTAAAGTGTTCACTCCAGATTCCAACGTGGAGTCGATAGCATCTGACGATATCGCTGGAGATACACCGAGTGTGGAATGTGCACGTTGTCGACTTCGTGAAGAAACGTTCACACGTAACGTTGGAGTCGGAGCCTGTGCCGTCTCGGACAAGGTCAGAAATGACACGAACACGGAGTTTTCCCATAGTTAACTTTTTGTGTGTATACTGTCCTGGTTTCGTTGCAGGTCTGCATTGAATGTGATAAGGCCACGCCGGATGAGGTGGATGAGAACGATGCACCCGGTTTCAAGGTAAGGTCATTTTTTGCAGCTGTGATTGTCGTTTGGGATTTTGGAACGGTGCCAGCTGACTAAAAAACAATTATAGCGATTAGCTGGAGCACATCCTTTTTTCATTACACATACTGCAGTTGTGAAGAAAGCGAACAACTAACCGAGACGAATTCAGTTTTCCAAGAAATAAAATGGTGCGCCGTAACGATCATCTCTTTTGTTTCAAGACTGGAACGTATTAGTCGTCCTAGTTAAAGTAGAGGCCTTAATCAGTGTTTGAATTTTTTTCAAACAAAAAAGTGTAAAGAGATTTTGCCTTTTCTTCTGTCCATCTGAAAAGCAAACTCGATGTCATTTTTTCACGTTAGTGATTTATTCTGCCTTAGGCAGTTTCCTGAAAGGCCTCAGACACCAGCAATTTACAGCGTATATGTAATTGGTTGATTTAGTGTTGGCCCACAAACGCACTTTTTTTTTTGAATCAGTGCGAGACTTATAGGTGAAAAAAAAATTCTTTTGCGCGAATTGTTATGGGAAATAAGTGTGCTTCAGAAATTCGACATGTTTCCATGTGAAGTAAAGTATCTCTATAGCTTGGCAGGCCCCCAGTTTCTTGCACATCCTAATTGAAGAATTTTTGCCTGTCCAAAAATTCCGAAAAAAAAATCCCAAAAAAAGCCTCAAAAAATTTTTAGCTCCCAAACTGCAGAAGCTTACTCAAAGTTTCCAAGACTCCTGTTCAACTCTTCCTCTACAGACAACTCATTGCACTTGTTTAATTCACTCTACTAAACCATTTTCAGCCCGAAAGAGACGACTCCCGCTCGAAGGAGTTCGATCATGCTAGAGCCACAGCCATAAAGAAATTGCTCACATCGGAACAGAAACAACCTTTTGTGAGAGGCAATGCTGTGTCGAAGAGTGCACGCTTTGAACGAAAGAAGGGCGACGATTTGGAGTACATCACGGAGAAGAACAAGGTTGGATTCAGATCTTACGAGTTTAGAACGAGATTACCTAATCTTTAAAATTTTGCATTTTTAGTCAGTCTCTTCATCGCCGTGCGCTCCTGCCACTACACCATCCGGTGAAACTTCAGATGCTTTGAAGAACAAAGTTGTGCTTAAAAAGGTAAGCGGAAACCCTGGTAACGTCTTCTGGTACAATCACGAACCCCGGTAAATCTATAGGAAATCCCTCTACCTCCCTCCACTCTACCAGATCCCATCCCTGCAAGGATACCTCGACCGAAGATTAGTAAATACGCTTTACCAGAAGAAAGTGCGGAAACTCCAGATGAGGAGGAGGAAGCAGCGGATCGCCTTACTCCCCTGCGCAGTGAGCTGAGAAGTCTTGGAAGGTATCTTAGTTAAATTCACGGTCAAAAATAAACTACAGAAAAAGAGTAAAATCTCATTTTCTAGGTGGCCTCGTTCAAATACGCAAGTACCGTATTCGCCATATAAGGCGGGAAGGTGCGTCTCATATTGGTTTCGTGCTAGTCGATATATTGATTTTTTGATTTAGTGAGTCTGACGAAGATTCAGACGATTCCGAAGGGAGCTACGATACTCATGAAGATGGCGTAGATCATGAAGGTAATGTTTATGAAGCTTTTATAACTTTGAATAAGATGAATTGTCAAAAAATTTGTGCAGCAGAAAATCCTCGTCCTTACTGCGGTAAGTGGGTGTCGTCAGAGCGTTCGGTTCTGCTGTGCTAGTGCCGTTCCAGCGCCGTGCCAGCTCCGCGCCGGAAGACATGTGGATGCGCAGCCTAACGATCGATTGATGTTGCCGGCACGGTTTTGGTGCGGCACTGGCACGGATAACCCTAAACATAGTCTTATCATCCCTGATTTCTTTTCGAGATGTGTCATTTTTTCATTTCATTTTTTTTAGCAAATTCAGATTCTCCTTATGAAATCTCAACACCGATGCGTGAAGCCATGGAAAGTCTGAACTCGCATCTCATTCAACCTGGAACAATAACTGCAGAAACAGCGGTAAGTCCAGACTCGTTATGGTGCATGCGATGAAAATTTGCCTCCTGAAATAATCACAGTAAATTTTTTTGTCTATTGATGAAAATCCTTTATTGTTAGTACTTATAGGACTGGGCATTGAAGTATGTACAGCACGAATGGCTAAAATGCGCAGCACGAAAGAATAGCCAGGCTGAAGCCGTTGATATATTGATAGAGCAGCTCAGAGAATTGTCGCCAGCTCTCCTCAAAGTCGTTGTGAACATAACTGATCAGAACGTAAGTTTTTATCCTAATTAAGTGGTCCCAACAGTCTCATCAAAATTATAGGGCAACACAGCGCTTCATTACGCAGTATCTCACGGCAACTTTGGCGTCGTTTCATCATTGCTCGACTCTGGTGAATGTCATCTGAACCTGGCGAATCGAGCTGGCTACTCGGCCGTAATGTTGGCTGCACTCAGCTCGCTAGAAAATGACGTTGAAAAAGCGGTCGTGCAACGGTGTGCGATTACTGTAGTTTTTTTTACACGTCACGTCCGTTATTTGATGTTTGTAATGTAGGCTATTCGAACTGGGCGACGTTAATGCACGTGCCACGCAACATGGACAAACCGCATTGATGCTGTCAGTATCGCATGGGAAAAAGAATACCACAGAGTTGTTGCTAGCATGTGGGGCACAAGTGAACTTGCAGGTATGTTCAAATTAGGCACAGGTAATTGAATTTGCGGATCCTTACAATTTGAATCTTCAGGACGAAGAAGGATCGACGGCGCTGATGTGTGCTGCTGAGCATGGGCATAAAGATATTGTCAAGCTGCTTCTGGCGCAGCCAGGCATCGATGCCGCTTTGACAGATTGTGTGAGTGAAAGATCGTATTGTTTGCGCTGTTGTTCAGGCCAAGTCTGTTTGTACGAATCCTCTTTGCTGGGCAGAGGGGACTTTTTTGCGTTCAGAGTTGCCTGCTTGACTGCGCCCTGCCAAAATCGGGGCCGTGCCAGAGTCGTGCCAGACCGTGCCAGCTCAAGTGCCCATGTGAAAGCACTGCATGCCAAGGGTGCTCGCTGATATAGTTCTGGCACGATGCACGGCGCTAGAACTGCGCTGGAACGGGCTTCCCTATACGCAGTCTTAGCGAGAAGAAACCATTATGAAGCCATTTCTAGCAACTCTACATGCCCTAATCCATGATCCTGTACTTGTGTCGTTTCAGGACAGCTCAACAGCATTGTCAATTGCCGTGGAGAATGGTCATCGTGACATTGGCGTCCTCATCTATGCTCATCTTAACTACAGCAGAGCTGAATCCATAGATGAAGCCTGATCTCAGCTCAGTGAAATGAGATGATTTCGTCTTGCGTGCTAATCATCACTACCTCAGTCAGATTGATCGACGCTTAGTTTCCAGTTCTTTCAGTTCTTTTATTCTGTAATTAGGACTAGAAAGTTAGAAAGTGAAAGCGTTGCATTTGCATTGCTGTATATTCGTGCATTCCTTAATTTGGATACAATCAGCTTCGCAGAGAAATCAAATATATGTAGTAAGAAAACTGCGACTTGCTAATAGTTACTGCAGTAAGTTGCTGTCGCCTTGGAAGTTGTAGACCATGATTTTGTCAACAGAAAGAAATGTTGTAAATATTGAATTACCCAATTCTTCCATTTTTCTCGAATCAATTCCACTAGTATACCATTGCTCAACTAATGACATGCTCCCATAAAGAAGGAACTATGAGTAGTAAATAACATTCTTTGTAATTTTTGATGCATTTTTTCATTATGTTGCCCATTTTCATGTGATCAAGTTTTGACACGGAATCGTGTACGAGTAAATGCATATGAGAGGACACCCCGAATGAAATTTGTTCATGTATGATATTGATTGAAAATAATATAAAGGTCAATACATTGTGTGCGTTTTTTATGACGATTATATTGTTTGAAAAGAATTTCGGCGCCGGTATGGTCCACAATTTTGAGGAATTCAATCTTGCGTGCTGATGCTTCTGCACTTGCCGCTCTATTGTAGTGAGCAGATAGTATTTCTCGAAATTGTCCAAGCTCAAGCTTTCACCATCTCCTCTGTAATGCATCTTATGTCGCGTAATTTTGCTGTACCCATTATGATGCTAGTTGGGCGGCTCTTTGGCCCTTTGCAACAGAAATTACGCAAACAGCCTTTCAACGGTGAACGGTAGCAGTAAAGCTCTGTAGTGACTGAAGACCGATCCGTGTCGCGGTAAACCTATGTTGGCACGGAAGCGCTCTCAGCCCGGTATAGATGCTCAGATAATCGCCGGGGGCAGGCGGCCATGCGATCTATGGACGGGTGGGCACCGGAAAAATAATTCGCCGATTTCTTGCGGTTCGCTTGCAGATATTTGGAAGAATTCTAATGAAATTTTAGGCGGATGCTTGGAAAACAGTCGCGGTTTTCTTACAGATTAGCTGCTGCGCAGTGGCCGCATTCTCGCGGACTTTCCGCGAGAATATGCAAAATTTTTGAAGGCCGCATGGTCCTTTGTGGAGAACCGCGCAGCCCCCAGGTACTTTCCGCTGATAGAAAGTACCTCAAATTTGAGTAATAAAAGCAACGATAACACCTTTGCCACACAGAGTCTTACCTGTGCTCGACGTAAGCCCGAAATTGCGTAAATAGAGTCCGAGCGCTTGCTGAAAGTTTGGCCAGCGTTTGCCGAAAGAGATTATTTGAGCGCCTGCAGAAAATTCTGTGTTGCTGCCCGCTGGCAGAACATTAGACAGTAAAGGAAGTACCGCTCGCTGAGGGTCTGGCCACGCCCCAAAATCTGCTGACCGCTTGCAGAAAAGCGCGAGTTTGCGGACCGCGTGCCCCCGGCGATTATCTGAGTGCTTGAAGGGATGAAGGGCAAATTACAGTCTTTTTCATCCCGGAGTAGGCGAAACATGTAAGTGGAGCAGCGCGTACGTACCGCCTTGGCTCAGCGAGATAGATCAGAATGAAGAGACGCAGACGGCAAAGCGGCGCGAATCTTTGCGAAGCTGACTCCCGCCAGTCCAATTTCCTCCTAAACTGAGTTGAAACTCATTACATGTGAGACTGTGCCGCAAGAGCCCCATCACTCCTATTGAGGAGGGCGTGCAGAAGTTTCTAGCACCTTTCCTCGCACCAACTTCGCATCAGCATTCGCACCGAGAAGCGTTCTAGCACTTCCGCGCCTCAGGGTTTAGACCGCGCCCACTGCTCCAGCCATTTACTGGTCTCATTGTGTGGTGTGCAAGCAGCGAGAACGTAGATTCTGGTACCAAGGTAATAAAAGAGAGAAAGAAAATGAAGTAAAAACGAAGAGCATTGTTATCATTTCTCAAGTGAGGCGGCTTGGAAACTACTGCTACGCCACAGTTTTGAAAAAGAGCATTTGCACTTTATTCTCAAAAGAGAAAATCCGCATAGAATTTTTTGAATAAAAAACCCGGTCAATCAAATTAGAGGATCTAGTTGATCAATTGTAAATTACTGGTTATTGATCAAAGTAATTGAGCAAAAGGAGTTTGAGGATCCAATTACCTTCTCAACATTAATAGGGCCCATTCTGAAAGGAGTATAACAAAGCTTCCGAATAGCAGCCCTTAAAGGCAGTGTCCAGTCAAATCTGGGCATATGGGTTTTTTCACTGCAAACTGTCGAGGAGGTACTAGCTAAGGTATTGCCCGAACCGCAACGAAATAATTCATTCACGGCTGAGAAATCCATCCGCAAAAACCCCGCGTCTGCGCCGTGACCGTAACCCAAAAACGACTTCGCTCACTTTAACACTGCGTCCGCGCTGGAACACATTGGTCCCAGCGCGAAACTAGTATAAGAGTGAGCTAAGTCGTTTTTGGGTTACGGTCACGGCGCAGACGCGGTTTTCGAGGGACAGGTTTTTCACCGTGATTGAACAATTAGCGCTGCCCCTTGGGCAGTGCCTTAGTTAAGCCCCCTTCATCACTTTCCAGGCGAAAGAGCCATGTGACCAACTTTGCCTGAATACTGCCCATAAGGCCGAAGGCATACCTCACGCGATTCCAGTCGCTGCGCGATTTGGTGGGGAACGACTGTTCAAAAGTGGTCGTCAGAGCGCTTCAAAGCAGGACTTGATCGGTTTGCAACAAGTTACAGAAGCTATGTGCGTCCATGTGTTGAAGCACCGTGCACGATAAATTTGGAGATATCTGGCAAATGCCAGGTCGCGTGAACGTCGCGATTTAGCCGAATCGCGCGAGGTATGCCGGTATGCCTTAGGTCTAACGCTGTATCCAACACTTAGGATATCTGAAACATACAGTGTGTCCCAAAAAATGTGAACACTGATTGATTGCTGATAACTCTCTTGTCATGAATTTTTCGAGAAGCTTGAGGCACCATTCTGTAGAGCGAGGTTCAGCTTAGACTGAAAGCATGGAGCGAATCGTTAATCACTCTTCATTAGTGTAGGAAGGTTTGAACTTTCAGCATACAGCACCACTGTGGAAATAGGCTTTTAATGAAAAAAATCCCAAAAAATCTGGAATTTCTTGTAGCGAGGTTTTTGGACGTGCCCATTTCGCTACACAACTTTCTACCAGTTTTTCGAGCTTTTTCAATGGTATAATCGCACTTCCGATGGGCAGTGAAAAAAACAGGTTTTGTCCTAAACCCGAGACAACTTATAAAAGAAGCATTACAATGGAGTGCGGCCATTCACTTCAATCGGTCATACAAAATCATGGAACAAGCAAGTAACTTTCGGAAAACCATACTTGTTTCATGCTTGTTTCATTCTCAACCATACTACGAAGTTTCCAGCTGGTTAACATCACTGTTTTACTATCAATTAGAGTAATGAAAATAACACTTTATTTGATAAGACGCAGACGAAAACCATCATATCGCTGTTCAAAATGGAAAAGTACCCCTGACCACTTTTTCGTTTGAAGCAATGATGTATGGGTTATACAAGTTAAGAAGAATGAGGGAGATCATTCTGCAACTTACTACGAGAAAGCTTACTTGTTTACAGTTCAGATAAGATTGTAGGTAGATGCAAGCTGAAGACCGAAACGCAAATTTGGTAAAGTGCAATAAACGCGGTCAAGCATGAGCATGATTGGAAGTACGGTCCCCATCAGTGACATCGCTTTGCTAAACCTAGAATTGAATGAAATATGCTTAACTTCTTCGCTTCTGATTGGTTACCTTGTGGTTTCATCGAGAAAATGATGTGAAGCTACAGTTTACATCGTGTAATGAAAACTTAGTAAAGATTATGGCTCAGACCAAATTACTACCACTCTCTGTTTTTGTCTGCCATCATATATTCGAATGAGTTTTTCATTCTAATTAACTCTAATAATCAATAACCAATTTACAAAAAGGAATTTTCAAGTGTAGTATTTCCTATAGTCGATGTAGTAGAATACTAAACTTCGTCGCATGATCGCGGAGTTGGCTGAGAGTTCCACATACGACACTAAATTAAGAAGAATGCTCCAATAACCGCCTTCTTTCTCTGCTCTACGACTGTGATCTAGTCCAAAAAGTGACATTTCCTACCCGATCCAGATCAGCTATTGATTTGATTTTTTCTTCTGACGACATGGTTCAAAACGTCAAGGTACATCCTCCTTTTGGATCATCTGACCACAATGTATTGAGTTTTGAAGCCACTTTCAGCCACCGTATCAGTACTTTTGTTCCTTACCCTGATTTCAAAACGCTGGCTATTCAGAAATAAACGCTGCTTTGCGAGATATCGACTGGTATAAGATCTTCGAAAATTACGCATCCGTTGATGATCTTTACTACCGATTCTGCAAGATACTATACCAATTCTCCCGAAATTTGTGCCTTTTCGATTTGAACCGTTGCAGCTTGTCAAATACCCTCCTCATATCCTAAATTTGCTTGATCAAAAAGCTAAACTTTTTTCGCAGCTGGAAGATCCTTTAGCAAATCAGTTTTACAGAAAGATTTGCACAGATATCAATCATCACGTCAAAAAGTTTCTAGCCAATCGTGAACGTCGTCTTTCTAAGAACAATTTCAAGGGTCTTTATAGATACTTCAGATACATGACAAAGGGTCAACAGAAGCTTCCTTTTTTGACTGATGTGCGCGGAAATTCTCTCATTTGCGACAAAGATAAGGCAGACGCCATAGGAAAATTCTTTGCTGGTTTTATGGAAAATACGCGTAATTCCACAGAAGAAGTTCCTAACCTCTGTGATTCCATTTGTCGCACTGAGGCAAGTTGTGCTGGAATTTACATAGAACCTTCAAAGGTTTACGAAAGCTTGCGTAAGCTTAGAGCCACTACTACAGTTGCTTATGATGGGCTCCCACAAATCTTGTACCGAAAGTGCGCTCACATTTTAGCGTTTCCCTTATCCTTGATATTCAATGCGTCTTTGGCTTTCGGGGAAGTACCCAAAATTTGGAAGGAGGCGCTGGTAACAGCAATTCCTAAGCGCGGAAATGACAATTCGATTTCAAATTTGCGACCCATCAGTATTACCTCGCCATCCGGAAAAATTCTTGAGCGTTTACTCCAAAAGCACTTATATGAATGGCTAGATGAGAACAATATTTTTCCATCTGCACAAAATGGCTTCCTTCCAGGAGGTTCTACAACTTCTTTACTCACTGATTCGCTTTTCGACTGGATCAGCGCCTTGAACCAAGGCAAATCCGTGGATATTATATTTTTTGATTTGTCAAAGGCGTCAGGGTTGATCATGCTAAGTTACTTTTCAAATTGGAAAGATACGGGGTTCGTGGACAGCTACTTTCGTGGCTCTCATCTTATCTGGAAGATAGAGGCATGACAGTACGAGTCGGCAACACCTTTTCGAGTCGATTTCGTTGCGTTAGTGGTGTGCCTCAGGGTGGCAT